CCTTCCTTCTATTCTGAGAAGAATGTCTGTGAAAGCATTGCAGAAACACAATTCATTAAAAATTGTTAATTTCCTTTAGAAATTGCGCAAATACTGATATTAGATACATACATTTATTCAATTAAACACAATTTTGAAACAAAATACTGAGTTTTAAAGACATTTTTAATACTTGTCACAGACTTTTAAATTTCTTGATGCGTAACATTGAGCCAGTCTCTTTAGCTTATAGTACTCTTTCATTTATATATTTATATATGCGTTACTTATAAAAAGTAATTTCATTATAATTAACCCTTTTAAAATTTTATAATCGTAACTTACAATTCTCATTTATTCAGATTTAAACGCAGCAATAAAATCTGTGAATTTATTCATGGAATTAAATGAATTTCTTCTGAGGAATTTAAGATTATCTATTTTGAATGCGAAGTAACTATAGAAACTTGACCAAATACAAAAGCATATTATTTGTTACTGCCATTATTATGATGCTCATGTTCTAATGCCAAGTTAACATAAGTGTTTAAAATGTTATTTACTTAAGGTGAGAGTAAAATTAAAACATTTAAGAATACGTTCCTTTAATTACTTTGAAATTCGTTTGTATAGTTTGCAGTATTTTTTATTTATTAATTAGTTATTACTTTGCCTCTACTTTCACTTCTACTTTCGTTGGCTCCCGCCAGAACGCAAACTAATGTATGTATTTAAGCACAGAGTCCTTGAGTTTAAGAAATAACTCCATGTTACCTTGCTACGCCAACTGTGCGGCGGTAGGCATGAGCTCTATCCAGCCCAATCATTCCATCTCTAAACTCAAGGATTTTGTTTTAGATATTGAGGACTGGTTAAAAAAGTGGAGATTCAGTATAAATGGCTCAACGTTTAAGCTCCTATTGGTAAGGAGGCTCAAGATTCGGAATAAAGCGTTAAAAAACCTCTCTGATTCGGGGAAGTTGTGAACTTTATAAGTAATGTAAGTTATCTAAGGTTTGTCGTTAACGAAAGGGTTAGATGGACATGTTATATTAAGCACGTCATAGGAAAAGCCTATGATATCGCCAACCAACTTCCTTCTGTACTCCTGAGAAATTACTCTGGACTGCGTCAAAAAATGGAAAGGGTATACCTATGTACTATAAGGCCATTTCTATGCACTTGCAGCCTGAGCGTCAATCTCAAAAACAGACTTCCACAAACTTCAGGTAGTAAAGAATAAGACTCTGAGAAGAATAGTAGATGCACATTACCTGATTTGAAACAAACTGATCCACAGCTACTTGAAAATCGACTCTATGTTGGATCACATTTACTAAAGCGTTTTTTCAAAACTAGACTTAGCTGTTATGTTGCAAATTTTTCAAAGGATCTTAGTTACCAAATCATTCCAGAAGATAATTTGACCAGACCATTTGCTACTCGCATGCTTAAAGATCACAGCTTCGTAACCTAGTTTTGGCTGACAACGTTTACTTGTTACCTTGCTCGGCGTTACTTTTGTCTCTCGTCGCTTTATATAAGATTGTCACACAAGCAGTAAAGGAGACAAGGTATCCTCACTTTTACCTCACTCTCTTGATCTTTCCACCTGCTAGCTAATCACAGTCATGTGCCCTCAATGTCATAATTTTCTTATATGGCTTATTGTTATTACCCCTTCTGGAGCCACAAAAACAACTTCATAAGAAGGATCAGTATCTATTTAGGGGTTTAGGCAGATATCGCTGACCACCCCGCTACTATTTTTCCCAACGTGTGAGTTATTTGAATCGGTTTTAGCTTTGCTAGTTATAATTCGCTAGAATTTGTGCGGACTTGAGCCAACAATCCGTAGCCGCGCTTAGTGATTGTATTTCGCAAGAATGAGAAGATGAAAATTTGGTGAATAAGGATGAAATCCAGAATACATTGCAAATGGAAAGTCAGAAAGGTGAATACAAATGACAAAGAAACAAGTAGTGCTATTATGTGTTATATTGTTCTATTAAAATTGAAGCATTTATTTTTCAACTGGTAATTCTGAACGAAGACAGTGTCTTCCTTTTTTGTAAGCACTGCATTCATTAATGTTGATGAGTTTTATTTTTCATCGGACCATTTCCTCAATACGAAATGCAGAATTATCTAAACGTCATTTTTTGACATATACCATTACGCAAAGCGGGTATTATGAATATAAGTAACCCAGGTCTTATTTTTGGTTACAAAAATATTAATAAGAAACATTGAAAACAACTTTCATGACTTGAAATAATATTTAAAAATAGGTCATTAAATTCAAAATCTGCTAGGCTAAATTGCTACTAATCCATAATTGAATTCCTTTTAAATAGTTCAATTTTTTTCTAATTTATATTTGTGTTATTTAAAAAAAATATTAGTCATCTTCTATTCTCATTTTACAGTAAAGAAAGCACATATGTTATACAAAGTGGTCGAAGGTAAACCGAAATGGACATGGCAGGAAAAAGAAAACCGAAAAGGATTACTATATTCGACGGCTAGGCAGCGCAAAACACAGTACATGCCTCCTTGGAAGCAAGCCAGTTTTCTTGCTTCAACTAGGACTGTCTTGTAGGATCTAGGGCCTCAACTGTCACCTAATCTGTGCAGTTGTCATTTTTATTTGCGGTGAAATCTTAAGGCAAAGGTTTCTAGAAACATTCTCCAACTCTTAACACTCATTAGAACATATACACTCTATCACTAACTTTCGATGAGGAGAAATACAGAAATCGCCATGAGTATGATTAATCGGACGAAACTAAGCCTGGACCCTTACGGTCAACATTTTCATCAGTACCTGTGGAAATGGCGGAATCCACGTAAATGGACTTTTTTCATTCATCTGCATGTACTCATAATGCCCCGTATACATGAGGAGAAATATATTCGAATAGGTATATTTGCATGTCTGCGGTGCCTGCACAGGCCTACACAGGAATACATATCTCCGGCGTGTCAGATACATGTCTGCACCGACAGTCGTGATCATTGCGCTTGACGGGATACATTGTCGCCGGAGACATATTTGGCAAAAGCCAATGAAATTGGGTACGAAATAATATATTTTAAAAGCAATGGTAGCTACTCTTAGCGTACAGCTTGCTGAATTATATATGGCACGAATCGTTTGGAGTTAGGGGTATTATTTAACCAAACTTAATTTATGATATTGTAATTCTTCCAGATCATAATTTATGATTCATTTCTTTTTACCTCATGTGTTAGCATTAACGAATCTCCTAGGATATTTTTCCTGTTTAAGAGGATTACAATATTCTTACGTTCCGAGAAGTTTGACAAAAAAGAGAAGCTGAGTTTTTCATTTGTATTTTATTATATTTTCGATTTTCTAATGTTAATGAGTTTTCAAATTTTGGGTCAAGTCTGATTAGCTTGATCGCTTGGGGTATTTATAAAATTCTTTAAGTTTTCGGTGAAACAATAGAGTATGAGTTCGAATCCAGCTGAGCTTCTTATGAATTATTCCGCTGAAAAAAATGTTATATTGTTTTTGTAATTCTGTAATTATCAGTATTCTATTAATTTCTTTCATCGCTTAAAGCTTCATTAGGAATCTATTTATCAGCAACGTGTGTCATATTTTACTCTAAGTAATTCTCTCTCTCTATTCTAAAAATATTAATAACTTTTCGAAATTGAGTCATATCTGAAACCTAACTCGGCTTTAGGTCATTTTAACCTTCTGCAGTGAGTGTAGTTTTCAGCCAATCGGATTAATTTAAATCGGAAATTTAATTACAAATACCACTGCTGCTTTCCCTTTTTTTCCAATCTTTCCTTTTTTTTTTACCCGCTTCGCCAAAATGCTGCTGCTTGCTTTCTGCGAAACAAAGACGCATCCATTGTCTTAAAATATACCAAGTTTATAAAATTGTGGGTTTCATATTGTACCCATCCTGATATGTGAATCGGATTATCGTCTCAGAATTGCTTTAACAAGAAATAAAAATTATATTCGAGATATGAGATATTCGGCCACGTCACTGTCCATATTGTTACAACTCCACCACCTTCTAATCCTTAAGATTTCTACACAGTTCTGACATTCTATGTAGGCAACTTATTTAAAAAATTAAACCCTGAAAAAAGAAAGTATTGAAAACTTCGGAAATTACTATGTTTGTTGTAAGATCGATGAAGGTTTGCCATTGGATACAAATCACGGCATCTGCTTTGCTGCTTTGACTGCTCTGATTGGCTTAGTAGCATTTCCCTGCGTAGACCAAATGCTATCAGACAATCTGTGAGGGAAACTTATTCCGAAATGTCTCATCGTATGGACGGCGCTTAGCATCCGCCCTTCACACTGGGTTTATTTGAGTTAATGAAGACATTAAGCGTAGCCGATGCAGCTCCAAAAACAGTTCTTGCTCAGAGCGGAGCGAGTTGTAAACTCTGAACTTCACGTAGAGCGGAGCTAGTCTACATATGGAATAAATTCGGTTAGCACAGATAAACCCCAGTGTGACTGGCCTTTACAGTTCATAAGTCTTTCACTTGCTTTATATTCGGTTTATCTGTACAAAATGTTAATGACATTATCTGTTTCAGAAATAATAATTGATTACGGAAATTTCCACTGTTTCGTTTCATGATAAAACACTTTAATTTTCTAACATGCATTGCTATTCTCGGTAATACATAAAATCATTAATTAAAGTTTATTTTTAGATTTATATTAAATTAGAATATATTGCAGTTTGTCAGTGCAGTAAAGATAACTATTGAAAGTGCATTAATCATTTTAAGAACATTTTATAGCTTTAATTTTGTTTTCTTCTTCCAAGAAAGTTAGGTTTTATATTTTCGAATCAAGTGTTATGATGAAATTTCTAATGCATAGTGTTATCTTTTTCCAAAGCATCAATACAGTACTGAATTGCTCTATTGTAAGGTACCTAAAATAATTCATTTTCTTTTGAGGAAAAAAATTTAATACATAAACATTCTATTTTATTAATAAAACATACCATTGCGTAACTGTTCATGGGGCGGACACTGCTTTCAGCGTATCTATTGGTGCCGTTTCCTGTAAAAATAGTCTCAAATAGTAAAATACAACTAATGTTGAAATTATAACATTATACATTTATTCTAAAATAGTTTGTAAATGGTAATACGTTAAAAAATTTTAAATAAATTATAATATGAAATAAAAAGCAATGATATATAATTTTATCATGCCGCTTCTTTCCTGCCGGAATTAAAAACAAGAACAATTCACCTATTATACGTTACATAATTTGGACGTTTAATTCCTATGATGCGTTGGTTTTTTACAACTGTTATTCATTCAAATTGGAGACTGTTCTCTTAGAAATCACGCCACCAATCAGCAGTGAGTATAACAAAATGCTTAATGAGAAAATACAATTATATATAGCTACAGCACTGACTGCAGTAGGTAATTTAAATTTTTAAGCATGCAGTTTAATAGGTATTTGAAGAAAGAAAACACTACAAAATAACTGAAATCTAGTACAGTATGATTATCAAAATTTCCAACTGATAAAGTTATAAGTTTTCACTTTGAACTGAAACAAATTCTGGATAAAAAGGGACATACTATTTAACACTAAGAAACAAATACTATTAATAAAGCTAAAGATACAGTAATAAGGTCTATCTCTAGTTAATTTGCTTCCATGGTGACAAATGTTTCCTTAAAATGTTTTTGAACAGCGTAATGGGATATTAAAATACTATCTTCTTAAGGGCAAGCTAAATCTTTATATTTACAACAAATTTCAATAACTTGATAACTACTTTTAGCAATGATAAGTGATGCAGCAAATAACAGACGTGATATAAACGAACACTGTCTGCCGAAATTGAGCTCATTAGTAATTTTATTTTTACCTGTGTGCCATTTCTTATATAATACTTGTAATATGTACATTACACAAAAGGAATAATTTCTATTAATTACAATATGACAGCAACATTTGAGAAAGTTTGCATTTCGAAAGATTTTCAGTAAATTTAGCAGTTGAACAAGAAACAAAATTCATAGAAACTGCAACCACTCGGGAGGGCTCAGTTATAACAAATTAAAAGAAGCAGTTGCGTTTCAGTAACTTGCCAATATAACTGAAATTAAAGTTTGCATTTCCTGTTTGCCTTCCCAAACACGCATGCAACAATGAGCTCATTCAATGCTACATCCATTCTGGTTTCCTGGCCAGAAATAGTACTATATTTTTCCTGTAGAGAATATAATGAAATGACGCGGTATGTATAAAAAACGTATAAGGTCTTAACAAGACTTATGTAAAATTATTTACTTGTTGCCATCTTCCTTTACGATCAAGGTAATTTAACATTTTTTATAAAAAGAACAATTACTGAATCTAAAATTTTGACTTACAAAAATAATCCGTAAGCTTATGTAAAAAAATTATGTTTTCAAATCTAAAATTGCTAAAAAGCATCGAGCCAGGAAAGTGCATTTGCAGAATAAATTTTGTGATACCTTGGTAGACGATTGCACGGATTTTTGGCGATTTTTTTAGCGAGCGATACGACTTATGGTAAACCCATTGCTGGAAAGTTATTTATTGTAACCGATACCTTGTTGTCATTTTATTTAAAAAATAATGAGTTTTATTATGCATAAATTCAGTGTTTTAAATATTATTTATGGTTTCTAAATATTAAAAATCAATTTAATTTTGCATTTTTATTTGAACATTTTTTATTGTTTATGATATTTTATTTAATTTTATGTTGTGTATGATGTAATCAATGACGTCGCCTTACTTTAAAAGTAATTGGTTTTAATACCTATAAATTTAATCTAATGTTTTAAACATTATTTATGTCTGTTAAATATTAAAATACAATTTAATTTTGCATTTTTTTGAAAAATGATTTTATTATGTATGATTATTTAAATAATTTTAATTCTCTGCGTGATGTAATCAGCTCCCTGATTGGTTGCAGACTATTTGTGCATTAACGAGCTATAATCAGCTCCCTGATTGGTTACTGAACATTTGGCATTACCGCGCCATTTAAAATTTTAATTCATTTCTTCGAATTCTTTAGCTTCATAGTGAACGGATATGTCCCGTTTAAAGATGAATTATTGGCATGTACAGGAATTATTGGTATCGGAATCAAAAAAATGTCCTTTGAGATTTTATTTTGGCTAACCTGGCTTTTCTAATGAAAGATTTATTTTATAAATGTTACAAGGGTCAGAGGAAATTTATTTTAAATTTTTGGAGGTAAACTCGCTAATCAATGAAAGCAAAATTTACAATATGTTTTAATTTTAAATTAATTATAACCTGTAAATTAAGTGATTTTTCTTTTAAACGTTGGTATGATGCTTTTAATTCGATATTCAATTTAAGTAATATTTTAATCGAATTAAATGTTGGCGCAATGCTTTTATACTATTTCTTTGCTATATGAAAGTAATAATTTAATCTTACTTTAGTATTTTATATTCGTAGTAAATGTATTTATTTACATTTGCCTGCCATCTTAAAAAACGACGTTTTAAACAAATAATTAATACATTATTTTTAACGATATTTATTTTTTTTAAGTTTCGAATACTTTATTATGCGTAAAATACGTCAATACAGTGTTTTTCAAGATGGCTGACGATTGTAAAAACCGCGCCAACAATTGCGCAAATTGCCAAAAATCCGTGCAACCGTCTGCCAAAGTAGCACCATAAATTGTTACAATATTTCAGCCACTGTGGCATTATATTATAAGACTGATGAAGAAGTAGGATTTTTAAATAAGTAAATTTGTAAATTAATGATATTTTTACTGTTCTAAAATAACATAATCAACAATGAATTTGTACTTACTCCTAATGAGTGCAATGACTTTAAATTACTTATTTTGGATTTACTATTGATAAATTTAGAATGGAAATTTCAAGATGATATATTTAAAGCAGTACATATAGCTGAATATAAAGCTTATTCCTCACTTTTTCAAAATATGAAACCTTTGCCAGTTTTATGAAACAAAAGCTTTTACGAGCAAGAACACGTATATCCGGATATTTATCTTGTCATAAAAGCACTACCGTTTTCCAGCTTAAAATCAAAACTATACTCGTTAACTTTCCGCGCTTTTCACACATAACTAATTTGAATATAATGACCAAATTAAGGGTAACTAAGGGGTGAACGACGATTCAAAAACCAATGATGGGCGAGGGCAGGCACAAGGAGGAAGAGGATGCCCGTTGCAAAGGAAATTGTGCTCCTCAGTCTTCCTGTTGGTCGCCGTCCCTTTGATGAGAAGTGAAGACACATCCTGTTTCACAGCGCACTTCAGCCCTCAGTCAAGGATGAGTTTTTTGACGAGATTCAGGCTTTCAGACAATGCTCAAGAAAAAAGGGAAGTAGTAAAATTTGCTTAGAATTATTTACGGTTGACTAGTGACATTACTCAAGCTTTGTCCTTTCTAGAATCTTTCTTTAAATGTGCAGTGTAACTTAATCTTTAAACGTTCTTTAAACGAAGGACAGCGTGCAATCTTATGAGACCAACTTTTCTTGACTGGAAATATATGTCAGAAATATTTAAGGAAGTCACATTTGATTGTAAAAATGAATATTTTAGGCTTCGAGTTCCTTTGTGTTTCAAATTTAGATGCAATGAACTCATTTATGGTTTGAAAACAGTATATAAGATATTTGCAAGAATGCATACTCAGTTTAGAATCTAAAAGAAGAATTCCTTATATTCTGTGTTTCTGGAACGTTTTTGAGCACATAGATGAACAAAACGTTAGTAAAATGAATTAAGGTCATTTTTAGAGTTAGTTAAGTGTTAGAGTCACACTCACAGGTCATGTTTAAGTTCTTCAAAGTGCTTTTGAAAACTCGTACCGTCGTACGGTGAGTTTAAATAGAAACATGAATGACAATTTCTTGAAAAAAAAAATTAATCTTTACTATCATTTGAAATGAGGCTTTGAAATGTACAGTAAAATCTCACTTCGAAATAACATAATATATAGCTCAAATCGAGTTCCTAGTATAAATACTTTTTAATTTCAAATATCGGGAGAATTAAAAGATAAATGATATAAATGCTGTAAAAGAATATAAGTGTGGCAGCAAGGATTAGGAATGAAAATAACCGTAAAATCAAGAATCAGAAATTAGCTTTACTAATTTTATGTACACTGTATATCATATAAAGCGGAAATGAACTACGATATAAATACATGAATAAGTATATTATTGAAGTATATTATATATTATTGAAGTATATACACGAATAAGTATATTATTGAAGTTATTTGGTTTTACCAAAATTCAATTTTTAGAAGATTTTTCGCAAATACTATTAAAATACATTTGAAAGATTTTTTAAATGCATATGAGGTAGAAGAAACTTTCGCACTTTATATGGGAAGACCTCATTAGCAGAAAATTTTTGTCTTCAACAGTGAGTTTAAGACCTAAAAAAATGTTTCTGTTTTTCAGTAATCCCAAAATCTGAAAAATCCGAAAAAATAAAGTAAATTTATGATTGAATTGCTTAAAAGTAAAGTAAAATCTCCAATAATATGAAAATGAGAGAAAAATAAAGGTAATTGAAAATATTTGTTATCAGCAAAAGCCTTTTTAAAGTAGAGTTTTCATACTAGAGATGTATGTTAGTCCACAACAAACTACACCCAGTAGAAATTCACAAGTGGCAGGTTTTTTACTGTAATTAATGGGTTTCTTCATCATATAATTACTAATCGTCAATGTGTAAATCGTTTGTTACTTGAAACGTATGTAAGGTAGACTAAATTCCAGTCCCTCTATGTACCAAAATCAATTGCAAAATAATTTTGATTGACTGAGTTTCGCAAAATTGTTAAAGCGTGACGCTTAAAATTTGATATATCTCCCTCAAGAAGAAATTAAATGCGTATCTGCTTAGAGAACAAGGTGCCCGTGAGAGCAGACTATTTCACTACATTCACTTGTTGGTAATTCGTTGCTCAAACAGAGTTGAATAACTATACTCCAGTAAGGTTGCCAAATAGTCTTTGGA